ACAATCTCACAGTTTATCATGAAAACTCCATCGACAAGCAAACTAGCAATCAGATATGAACGAAAAAGAAACAAAGATTTGCTACAATCACAACATTTAAAAGGAGATCGAGAAACAAGCCAATAACTGGCACAAACTTGATCAAACCTATAACATCCAGTAAAATTAATTGAGATTAATTAATCAAATCTTGTGGTTAGTGTTAATTAATCTGAGATTAGTGCAAGATTCTCAGTTATAATTATCATAAGACCTTTCTCTTTTAAAAAAGATTGTTTTGAAATTTACACTGCCGTCCCTCGAACATTTTTAAGTGTTGGTAACTAATTTTTTAAAATTTGAATAATGAGTCATTTCATACTCTAGTCAAATTAGACTTTGAAGTCTAATAATTAAATTTGCCCAAAAAATCTAAGCCCAGAATTTGCCCAGAATTTGAACAATCTTGTGGTTAAATATTGTTTGTAAAAGAGACTCCGGAACACTACATTTTAATATCTATTTTGGGTATTTGTATATATTTTTTTATTTTTATAGATTTTTTTTAATTAATACAATTAATTTAAATTAAATTTTAAATTAAATCTCAATAATCACGGCCTTATTAACAGCATCTTCTGATAAGCCTATAACAACAGGTCTTGTCCAATTACACCGAGATTGCAATGAGAAAAGGCAAAACAAGATGAGAAAGACCGAATTGAGAAGAACAAAAGAGAGAAGTCATAAAGGAAAGTATGAGAAACAAAAAGAGGGAAAAAAAACACTTAAAAGAAGGAGAAGCGCCACGTGGCATGCAATAGAAGGAAGATATCTTTGGTTCTCTATGTAGTATGTATGTTAAAGATAAAAGTATAGTTTTTAAAAGAAGAAAATTAACATAAAGGCCGACAAGAAAACCCAGTTTTTAAAAGAAGAAAATTAACATAAAGGCCGACAAGAAAACCCACTGCAAAATCATGGCTTCGTTTAGTATGAAAATTTAAATTAGAGTGATTCAAATTTTGATTTTGTAATAAGAATCATGATTCATGATTTTAGGTTAAAATTATGATTCTAAAATCAGAATCAAAATTAGGGGTTTGAAGCATCTAAAATTAAGAAAAGAGATTATTTTAAAATTATAAATGATTCTAGTTTAAAAAATTACAGAGAAAGTTGAATGACATGTGGCAGAAAAAAAAAGAGTAAAAGAGCGATGAAAGAGAATAAAAAAATGAGGAACCTTATAATTTCTCAAAGAGAAAATAGGAAGGCCATCCGTATAATCTGATTCGGGTTCGTCTGCTGAAAACTTGGTCCTTATTCTCGGAGTTGTTCAAGGAAGGTTTCTAAAGAATTGACCACGAAAAATGTTGAAAAATTACGAGTACGTGTATAAATTACAATACACGAGTCATGTGATAACACATAATCTCCAAAAGGAAATAACCGTTCCGATTTCTTCAACCTGTTACAATAACGGTTCTATTCTACACACACAATTCTCCCATCCTAATCCACATCTTTAAACACAAAGAGAGAAATCTTAAACAAGGTTTAATTTGGAAGCTGAAAGAAATAACAAAGATCTATGGGTTTCTTAAGCTCTTATCTTCTTTGTTTGTTTCTCTCTTTGCCTTGGGCTTATGGCCAACTTGTTCCTGCATTGTTCATATTCGGAGACTCCGTCATGGATGTGGGAAACAACAACCACCTTCCGACTCTTATAAAAGCAAACTTCCCTCCTTATGGAAGAGACTTTTTTAATCACACTCCGACTGGAAGGTTCAGCAATGGAAAGATTTCCGCCGACATCATAGGTAATATTTCTACTTTAAAATCCATCATTCTCTTGCCTTTAGTTTTGCTTTCCCCATCTCATCGTATAATGTAGGTTTTCTCTAATAATTGGATTTTTATGTTTTATTCAATTTCTTTGACTATAGCTGAGACCCTCGGATTTGCTTCGTACCAACCAGCTTATCTTAGTAGTGAAGCTAAAGGAGAAAATCTCTTGATCGGTGCTAACTTTGCGTCTGCCGCTTCTGGTTATTATGAACCTACTGCAAATTCCAATGTGAACACAAATTCTAACTGAATACCCTTGCTCTCTATATTTTCTTTTTTAATATGGCTCATTCTTTGTTGGTCTTCACATTTTAATTAGATTTGATTAGATTTATCAATTTCTAATATTTATTAAAAAAAAATTTCTGATATTATCTAGTTGGGAGTTTTTTTAGAGGATGAAATTATCAGTGGATATCGATTTAATTAGGATGTAATAATTGTTTTTAATATAAGTTATTCCCTCTCTCGATTAATTAAAAAAAAAAAAAAAAACTTGATATAATATGATGGCGATAATTAAACATAAGTGCATTACATGTGTTTGCAATATATATGCATCCTTTTAGCTGAGGTATTGTACGTATTTTGGTTTTGTAGCTAGCAATTCCACTAAGCAAGCAGCTAGATAACTACAAGGAGTACCAAGGAAAGGTGGCGGAAATAATAGGGGCGGCCAATGCTACATCATTGCTTTCATCTGGAATCTACCTTCTTAGTGCTGGGAACAGTGACTTTGTTCAAAACTACTACATCAATCCTTTGCTTAACAGTGCCTACACACCTGATCAATTTAGTAACATTCTTGTTCAAAACTATGCACAATTTATCAAGGTCTCTCTCTCATATGTATATATATATATATATATATATATATATGCATACCTCAAATTCTTATTAATTGCATGTATTTCATTTAGGATATTTGACATCCCTTAAAAGCTGTTGTTAAAAATACCTATTTTTAATGTCGCTTAATACTACATCAGTATAAAAACCGACGTCAAATGTTTTAATAACGGTTTTTAATTGACGCTAATCAACATTTTTTAAGAAGTGAACGCTTTTGGTTTAATTAGGTTTTTAGCTTTAGATGCCTCGTAATTGATAATTGGAAAATGCTCTATAGTCCAGTAATGCTCATAACTTGCCATGTGCTGCTAGCTAGGTTGTTAAACGGGTTATTTTGTACAAAGTATACCAACGAAAAATTGCATAAATTTTGGTAAATCGCTGATTTATTTATTTTTATGTTTGACCTGTAGACGTGTATAACGGAAATAGTAAAAAATAGGCTAATATGAAAAGTTTAAGAAAGTATATAGGCCAATTTTTAGTTATAAAAATTAATAGGCCATAAGTTATCAAGTTATGGTTTATAACCAGATAAGTTATGGACAAACTTGTCAAGTTATGGTTCATAGCCAGACAAGTTATGGACAAAAACCGTCAATAATTTATCAAGTTATGGTTCATAACCAGACAAGTTATTGACAAAAATAATAATTTAACATATTTATTAACTTATATAAATTATTGGCATATTAATTTTAATTCATCTCAAGTCTTGATCTATTTCCCTCTTTCTCCCTAATAAATGTCTATGATCAGACATAATTAAAACTTAAATAGTGTTCCAAATAGATAAATAAATTTAAAAATATACACAAATTAGGTAACAGATAGTTACACTTACACCTTAGTGATTGTAATTTGAAAATAAACAACAATATGAGAGTGGATTGGCCACTGTAGGGCAGAAACTCACCATATGGTGCCCTAACCCGATGCTCTTGTAGATTTTGATGGTTAAATAAAAAGGATTAATTAGCATTGTATGATAGGATTTGTATGGATTGGGAGCAAGGAAGATTGGAGTTACTACACTACCGCCAATTGGATGCTTGCCAACAGTTTTGACGTTGTTTGGGTCAGGCAAGATGGAATGCGTGGAGAGGTTAAACCGTGATGCCATTTCCTTCAACAGAAGACTCAATAACACTTCTGAAATGTTGAAAAATAAGCTCTCAAATCTCACCCTCGTTGTCTTTTGATATCTACCAGCCTCTTTATCAACTTATCACAAAGCCTGCTGAAAATGGTACGTCATTTTCTCTCCTCTTTTTTCCATGATGATTACTTGTGGGCAGAATGTCCGATTCAGAGTTTCTAAAAGGTCCCACATTGTAGAAACTACAATATGTTTGAGAAATCAAAACACCCTTTTTTTTTTCCGATAAAGAGGCGATTAAATATTTTGAAACTTTTTTTTTTTCCAAGTAAATGACATATGATCGAAGCAAATAGCATATTCACCGTTAAATATTTTATTTACTTGGCGTAAATAACGTATTTATGTCCAGTGTTTACTAATAAAGATAAATAATTATGTACATATATATATTTGCTTTAGTCATTTCAAAAATAACAAAAATACATTGTTTACTACCGTTATTGAACCTCAATTAAGAAAGCAATATCTCATCCTTTTTTCGAATTATCTGATTGGATGACATCCTCTATTTTACAGGGTTTACTGAGACAAGAAGGGGTTGTTGTGGAACAGGCTTGGTAGAAACATCAATACTGTGCAATCCCTTGTCGTCAGTTATTACTTGCACAAATGCATCTGAATACGTATTTTGGGATGGCTTTCATCCTTCTGAGGCTGTCAATCAAATTCTTGCTAATAATTTGTTGACCGCTGGATTCGCCCTCATCTCCTAAGTTCATATTTTTCGATTTTAATTTTTTTTTTCTTTGGGTTGTGCTTTCATGGTTGGTGTTTTTCAAGTGAGTAAATATGCAAATAATCTTGTAATTTTATTGTAGTTTCCTTTCATTACGAAGGACTGAAATACTTGCACATAAAGCAAAGTTTTGAACTTTATAGCTAAATTTATAGGCAAAGGAATAAAAAAGAAAGAAAAAGAAAAAAAAAAAAAAAGGGGATGTACCTATACTTCTAATTAGTAAAACAGCTTTTGCCTTCCGTTCCAATCTTTGCTGTGTTTCTCTTTTGGATTTTACCATCATAAGGATTTAATGAGGCATTCTTTTGATTATTCCAATAATTTAAAAGTTTTTACTTGGTGCTTTTTTTTTTTTTTTTTTAAATGAATGTTGGGAGCCAAAGTAACATAAGTACGTATCTTCAAGAGACATTAGTGTAAATAACCCTTTTAAATTACTTTTGTCGGTGGCAGTCTCCAGTCTGCCACTCATTTCTAATTGTTTACGAAATGTGTTGGTAGTTTAAGTTGAGAAGTAAAAAAATCTATCATATCCATAAGATTTTTATAATCCTAGTTCTCTGTTCTAAATACCATCACATAGATACAAGATGCTATTCAACTGCAAAATGCACTTGAAGAAAAACCTTTCAACAAAAATGCCTTGGATAGGTGCTAGGAACTAGCTATGGCATCCCAACGCCAAATCGTCCCGTCCTCGCAGCAGCTGAGTATGGTGCTGCATCAGGAATATGTTTTCACGTCATAAGGGAATATTCCATTCATAATAGCATATGCAAGTACGAAATTGAGGCTGAATAAATCATGGAACAGTTACCTTCCATCAAAGGACACGGCCGTCTGTCTGATTGGAGATTTTGATTGAGCATGAGACAACCTAAGAGACACCAGGTTCGTAAAGAATGTTTCATTATTCCAAAAATAGCAATTTTTGGCTATGAATTTTGAGAAAGAAAAAGCAAAACAAAACCAACCTTGCAATAAGAACGGGAGGGCTAGATTGAAGTTCCCAAACATATATCTTTCCCTCGCGATTTCCTGTTAGTTAGGACCAATTTAGTAGTAAATAGAACGAGAGATCTAAAGATTAAATGGAAGAAATTATATTCGAAATTGCATTACCAATAGAATGAGAGATCTACAGATGAAATGGAAGAAATTATATTCGAAATTGCACTACCTATAGCAGCCGCGTTATAATGGAAATCACACGAAAACTTAATGAACCAAATATCACACTCTGGAACAGGGTACTTTTGAAGGATGTCAACTGTTCCCTGAAAATAAATTGGAGAAAAGTTTAGAGCGGAATCTAGTTAAACAACTAAGATCCTATATGACCAATAAAAATTACTGAAAAGGTCTAGAAATATGCAAAAGTTTCTAACCTCCCCAGGAGACTGTTCCTTCATTTTAGGTTCCCACAACACAATTTCATTGTCCACACTCTAGAAATACCAGTTCAAGAAGGCATTAGAAATCGGAACCATATTGTAAAGATTTAATTCTGTTTTAGTTATGTTTTCTCCTTTTTAATGAACTTTCAAAGCATTTTCCATAATAGTTAAGCTTATAGAAGTTGATAAGCATGAATGTCCAGCTTATTTTACATAAAAAAACAAACTTGTGACATCAGGCTATCTCACTCAAAATTGCAACTAAACTTAGTCTTGGTTTATGTTTTGACCAAGAGATTGGGATAATGGGATAGCTACAGAGCATTGCAAGATGCTAATGAGCAAATTGATATCTTGAAGAAGTCACTGGACATGTCAATTGAGTTAACAGATTATCTCAAATGTGAACACATAAAATGCGGCTATTTACCGATTGGAAAAAACAATAAAAAAAGAACTTTTCAATGATCTTAGAAACGGCATGCAAATGGTGGGTAGAGCTGGTAATTCACCTTTGATAGGACAAAGTCACCAAGCCACCTATTACAGTCAACATAGTTCGAATGAACAGAGGCTATGAACACCTGAAAAGGTCAGAGTAACTTCAGACAAAAGCCGTAGAAAAGCTCATATGTAACAAATCAAGAAATGGGTACCTACAGGAAATTGTACATATTTTGTCGGGAATTTTGATGGGAGGTCAGTCCATGTGAAAGATTTCTCTACATAGGTCCAGAACTCTGGAAGGAATGTGAACAGAATGAGAATAATGAATAACGATATCACTGCTAAATATGATAAGTTCTTGACAAGATCTGTGATATCTGCTGAATGCTACTCTGATCTAAGTAGTCTTACTCTTTGTCCCGTGCTAGGAAGCATTACTCCTCTTTTCATTCCAAATTCAAGAATCTCAAGTCTCAACATTCAATAATCAAAATGAATCCCAGATTGAGACATCAGAAATCAGATTGCATGATCAAAATTAATTTGCAGAAAGAACAAATTCCAGCTACCTTCCGTAGTAATAGTATAACACCAGATGCGAAATTTTATAATTCTCAATACAAAATCACTACTTTCTACTGCTTTCTTCTTTCCTACCTTTCATTGACCAGATCTTTACTGTATTGTCCATGCCACAACTTGCAATGCGATACGTGTCTGAAGGATGGAAATCCTGCAACAGTCAGAGTATCAGTATAGTTAGCATCTTAAATCCTCTTTTTAATTAAAAACCCGCCATAAGGCAAAAGAGTAAGAGTGAAAGGGAGCATAAAATATATTCTGCACTTACCACACTCAACACCTCATTCCGGTGGCCCCCAGCTCCAGCAAATATCAAAATGCATATTCCAGTTTCTACATTCCATAGGCGAACCGACTCATCCTGGTTAATCAGAAACATTAATATATACATAGCACAGAACGAAGCATCAATAAACAGAGAAAATTAAAACACTCACTTTGCTTGCTGACACGATAAGAGACGGTTTAAGTGGCTGAGTCCTTATTTCGTTTATCGAGTCTCCATGACCAACAAAACTCTACAGGCAGGCAAGAGGCAAAAGAACGAACTCATAGTTTGCAATAGCAGAAAAAGAAAATGTACTTATTTGTACAACTTCAATAGTGTTTTTAACAAAGGAGCTGAAACTCTAATAGCAAGACAACCTTATGTATCTTCTCAGTGCCGGCATCAATGACACGGATTATACCATTGATTCCACCGGCCACAACAAATGGAGATCCATCGTTATTGCATGCCCAGCTCACAGTGTAAAAAGACTCATCCTTCTGATCTACAAAGCAATTGAAATCATATGAGCAATCCATAACAAGTCTTAAAGGTAGGGAAAAATAAAAAGGAATCATATTTGCTTCTCAAATGGCTTTAACAACTCACATCCTCATCAATGTAAGACTGCAACACAGCTATAACACCTCCTTCAAGACATTGGTAAACGGTCACCTGGGAGAACAATGAGGAACAGCATTACACAAAAAAAGAAACTTGAAACCTTTTTTTTCTTTCCCTGATATCCAGAAATCCCTCGAACCCACTTTGTGAGCCCAAGTTTGAAACCGGAGCCTTCCGCCAAAGCCTACAATCTTTGTGTTAGAGCCCGAGCCCCTCCCATTAAATTCGTATACTCTAGGAGGAGCAAGGGGGCAATAGTTGATTCTCACAGGGAGGCGTAGTAGGAAGAGGTATTGGCTGACTTGGCAGTTATTATCGAGTTTCACGCTGAGGTCCGTTAGGAATTGGTTTGCATGGGGAATACCGTGAGTGAGGAGTCTATAAAAGAGAGCTTGTAGTGGGAAGGGAGGGGATTGTATTGAGAATTGAGTCTGAATGTTGGAGGCAAAGGAGCCTCGAATTCCTCCTATCTGTAATTTCCGTATTCACGTTTTGTCAGTTTGATTAATAACAGTTAAGAAAACCACCCAGAATTCCTGGGTTTCTATCACTTTGGAAGGCAGGAAACTATGACATTTGCCATGTAGGTTCCCAAGAAACTTGAAACTTTTATTCCCTCTTCAAAAAAGATAATACTTTAAAGAGAAACTTCAAGATGGTTTTCGTTTAAGGTTGTCTTTGGTTAAAAAGGAGTTTCAAGAGATTAATTCCCCTTTTCCACGGAAAAAAAAAAAAAAAAAAAAAAAAAAAAAAAAAACTTTTTTTTTTTACAAAAACCAACGAAATTAACTATTACCTTATTTTCTTCTCCCAAAAACACTTTTAACTGCACAATTAGAGCATAACTAAGCTGTTCCACTAATGAAGAAGAAAAATACAGCTACAGGTAATGAATGTGATTTTTTCCCCCCTTCAGATGGTTTCTCGGGAAACAAACGGAAGATAAACGAGAGAGAGAGAGAGAGAGAGAGAGACCCGATTGCCACCGACAGTGGCGAAGACGTTGAAGAAGCGGGAGTCGATGAAGTTGAAAACGACGGCGTAAAGGGGGCGCTTGCCCTCTTGAAGCCTATTGGTGACCTTGTACTCTCTCTTCTTCGACGGCGTCAGCGATCCCACCACTGGTTCCGACCCAAGTGCGAATTTCGCCATATTCGCACAACGTGAGACGGGGCTGTATGGCGACAGCGATTGGGTTCGTGCGGCTGAGGGGCTGGTGTGCGAGCGGCTGCTCTTTCTCCCTCCTCCCTCGATTTGTCGTATTTCTTTTTGGGACCTTTGCCTACCAACCAGATTTTTTGTCGTCAAATCTCACACCTGTATAAAAATAAAAATTAAAAAATATACATATTTA